TTTTGTGACTGGCATTTAGGTATTTCAAATTGAAGAGAAGCCATTTGGCTATTCGAGTCGGCAGTCTGGCAAAAACTACATTCCAATTATTATTATTAATTATCTCAAGCTGATATATTACCTACAGAACTCTTTCTGTTTTTAGATCTCACCAACATTCTCATTTCATGTCTTCTCATAAAATGCCTTAAATATATTTGGATTCAAAGCTATAGGACTGAGTTAATTACTTAAGCTGGCGCCAAAATCTAGACACTTTAATCATTGACATTCATAATAGTAGAATATACGATCAGATTGAATCTAATTGCTAGGCTAAGTCTTAGCTTTGTAGTTGTTATTATTATTAAGTAGTTATGTGCATATTAAGGAGTATATTAAGTATTTTTATCAACAATATTAATGGTAATGATTTAAAATAATAATTTAAAGTGTTTATGTATATGAAGGATTATATTAAGTATTTTGATCAACAATATTAATGATAATGATTTAAAATAATAATTTAAAGGTTTAAACCATCTCTCTTTGCCTCGGTAACATTAAAGAAGCGAAGTGTTCTTGGCAATTTTCGAATAATTTTCTGCCAAAGATTTCTTCTTCTATATTTATGCTCTATTGTTGTGTCAATTGTGCCTGCAAGGCATATGTTTGTTATTTAAGATTAAATAATGTACATCTTTAAGACTAAGAGATTCAGCAGCGTATTCAGTTTTCAACAGTAACTATTTTTCCAAACAACACTTCTTCATACGTGCTAAAACTATATAAGACGTTTGTTTCATGTTCTTGTTCATTGTCACATTACACATCTATATACATACTATATATATACAGTAGTTATAGTTTCATATAATTTTTTATTTCCCCATTATTGCATATTAGGACTCATATCTCTACCTCACTTGTACATTCATAACTTCTTTAAGAAAAGTAAATAAATTAAATATTAGAGTTATAGTTATAGAATACAACTCTGCATTGAAGCTCTCTTTTGATGAATAATAAGTCGAGGCCGACCATATCAGTTCATTATAGAATCGGTGTGGTTTAAAAAAGTTTCTGCATCAAATAATTGTGTATTTCTAATGCTATGGAAACCAAAAAGCATATTGAGAATGTTGAAGTCATAGCTGATGTTTATTTTAATAAATGATATGATATTTGAACATGAACAGTTCATATTTATTTTTGTGTATACTTAAAACCTTAAATGCTTTTTTCTACAGCACAACAATCTTAAACATACAACTTACCTAACTGGTGATTACAATCATGCCAAAGTAGTTTCCGGTTTTTCAATATTTCAGGAGTAAAATTGCAATTGTTTTACATTTAAACTTCCAACAAAGGTTTAAAAAAAAGTCAAGTCAAAGAGTTTTAAAATCGAATCAAAATAGATTATTTAAATTCTAATAAAATTATGTGAATTTCGAATTATGAAACAGTTGGCTTTCTTAACTGCCTCGCTTCAAGTTCGCTGAATCATCGCTTCACGCATCCTTTTTTTCGTCCTGACCCACTGCCAATGTCTGCTCTTACTTTCAGCTTTCTACCTTTTGTTTGATTTATTGTCACAGCAGTGCGGAGAAAACAAAACACAACGCAACAGTAAAGATAACAGTTAGAGAGCCGGCTACACACAACCCGCTAATCAAGGGCATATAAAACCCCATATTAATGCATTTAACACAAAATATGATTGCCACAATTTCTGCGGCCCGGGTTTCCGAAACCCACAATCAGCTAAACGTTGTGCGCGTTAAGAGGAATTCCAAAAAAGGGGGAAAAATATTTGCAAGGCGCGCGTACGAATCCAAAACTTCGGCTACTAATGCAAAGGCCAAGCGGCGACAGTTGTCGATTCGCTCCGACTAGGGAGAGACAGGCAGAGAGTTGGACTTGGAATTGGAGTTGGAGCTGGAGCTGGCGAACCTGGCAATCAACAGCATTCCTTTTAATTTCAACTTTTTGCAGGGACGCACGACGCGTCGAATCGAGCCGAGCCGAGCCGACCAAATCAAAAAGTCAGAATCAAAACCAATAATAAACTTAAATCGATAATTGAGGTCAAGAGAATTTTGCGTATTCGTTGGCCGCTCAATTTTCATTGTGGTGCGGCCCTAAACGTACGTGATCGTTTAACTGTAAATTAAATATAATTTCCCAATAATAATAATCACAATAGTAGTTCTGTTTAGCTGACCAGCGCCTCAACTTTCGCAAATCTTCCTCTGATGATCCCTTAAGCCGTCGCAGACGCATAAATCATTCCACCGGCCTCGAACAGCGCGAACATTTCATGGATCGATAACTGTCTGTCGCTGTCGCTGTCGCTGACTGCCTCAAATCCTCTGACTGACTTGTTGAACGGCCGTCTGTTGCCACATTTTGGGGCAATAAGATAACGCGCGCCACATTCGCGCAGCTGAGGCGCTTTATTAACGTTTTCGACCGCTGATCGATTGGATTTCGTCTCTCACGCCTAAGATGCCTCGCCATATCTGTCTGTATAATTAAATGCTAAGCAACTAACTAACTAACGAGCTGTTTTTCTCTAGAAACTTAGTAATAGTTTTGTTTGCACATCAACTTACAGTTTCATTTGCATTGTAGAAGTTTTCTTTGAATTCAAATGAATACTGTGTGATTAAGAATGATTTTTATGGGGAAACAATTTATTTTTCTCCTACTGCGAAATGGTCATAGATATCTCATTATTTTTATTAATGGATTGACTTTCAGCGTCGATATTGTCGTTGAAAGAAGTTTGAAATTGAAAGCTAGTTTCATACTTCTTTGATTGCACAATTATTTCAAGAATGAAGCAACCTCAATCAACATCATACGATTATTAATAAGTACCCAGTACTCTATTCGACCTCTCTATTATTTGTTGGTCTATGTCTAGCCTATCAGTCGTATATATAGTGTCTTCAAAATCATGTTATTCCCATGTTAATTCCAATTTAACTTTTGTTTATCCGCCCTTTGAAATAAATCTTATACTTACTTAGTATGTGAGCGTTCCGGAAAATAGGAAGCATATAGAAGCGGCAAAGCTTTAGATTTTGAGAATATTACAAATAGCGTGATTTCAAATTTGTGAGGATTGTGTTAAAATAAAAAGCCGAAAATTGACAATTTATCATAGCACCGAATATCGACAATCAAATATCTTGAAATCGTTCCAGTTTGAATTACAATCCAACATCTTCACTTTTGTAAACAAATCTAGCTTAAAGTTTTTATTTATTTTGTTTCATTAATTTATTTCATCGACCTACAATGTAGTTGATGTAAAAGAAAAAAGAAAACAAATAAATACAATAGAGAACTTAAACTAAATAAAACTAAGGAAATAAAAAAGCTTATAAAAATGCCAAAAATATCTAATAACGAATCCGGTACGGTAAGAGAATTTTATTTGCCAAACGATCAGCTAAGCCCAGATTCGCAGCAAAGAGTAGTCAGATACGTTATTAGAATTAACAAAAAAGAAGTGGAGATGAAAAAATAGCAATTAAAGATAAAAGAAAAAAGTTCCAAGAGCTTTTGGACTTATTTAACACTGTTCCAAATAAATTAATGACCGCTAGACCACTTGTCTAGTACACCCTGTGCTGAAATAATGCTCATGTGTTTTTAGTGTCCTGCAAATAAAGCGGATCGAATTGGGTCGGTCCAGTAACATTTTCTTCTTTTTGCTCTTCGCGATTAGACAGCGAGAACTTCTGCTTATTAACGATTCTTCATTAGCTAATCGTAGGATAGTTCATGGGGTTAGGTTTCTATACAAACTGACTGCCGAAGAAGTGGATTCCTCTGTGGTATTAAGTTCCTTGTATCTTTCAGACCAATAAAGGGGACAAGTTGATTCCTCTGTGGTATTCATTTACTAGTAGCTTCCACTTCTTGCCTCTGCACGTTCCTTTTCGTGTGTTTTGCTCAAACTCTAACGAATTTACTCACCTTTTCTCAATCGAACTCTCCCTCTGCTCACTAAAAAGCACCTGTTTTCAGCTAATTCCGAGAGAATCACTGACCAACACGGCTATGAGACGGGACACAGCTCGCCGGACTGACAAGTGAATCCTTTACCGAGCAGGGCTGTGAATCAAAAATAAATTCCCCCTCGAGTCGGATTACATAGATATTAATGTAATTTAAAGACTTTGCAACTTTTTAGTGAATTATTTTGATGACATGAACTGTTCTATTTGTGGATAAATAAATTAAGGAATTACACTCGTATCTGCAATGGGTCCTATTCGTCAGGCAGGCATTCAATACTGTTAACAGCTTGGCACTCCACATCCTCCATTAAAGCTTCAATAATCGCAAACATCAACGCATTGTTATCGAATGAATCCTGCTGACAGATTTAGCTGAAATGCCCATTTAATTGACTCGTTTTAGTTTTAAAGCTGAACTCTAAAGCCAGACAGCGCTTCGGAGCAATTAAAATGTAATTAGTGGCGCAGCGATTCGAATTAAACGCTCAGTTTAACAATTTTTGATATAAATTTCGATGCAAAATCAGAGCCCAATCCCCTCCAGCCCCTCCAGCCCCTCCATCCACTCCATCGAAATGAAAAACAAGTGTTGCTTATTATTTTCTCAATAATAATTTATTATTATGTATTATTTTCAAACTTGTTCGCTTTGTTGTGTTATTGTTTTTGTTGCTGTTGCTGTTTCTGTTACTGTTGCTGTTGCTGTTGCTCCGTATTATTATTTTAATTCTCATTCATGTTTGTTGTGATTATGTACTTTTCTGTGTAGTTTTTGCAGCGAGCGGCGACTGTTGCACAATTATTTGTGGCATTCAACATTTATTTGCCATGTGTTTGTTTGTTTGTTTGTTTGTTTGTTAGTTGGTGTGTGTGTGTGTGTGTTTTGTTCTTTGCTCTTTGACTATTGTTATGACTAAAGTTAATGCGTACATATATATGTGTTTATATATGAGTATGTGTGTTGGTGTGTCTGTGTGTGTTTGTGTTTATATAATAGCATATGAAGCGTTTAAATAGTTGTTGTTGTTTTTTTTGTTCTTGTATTTTTAATGTCAATTTTTGTAACATATTTCAATGATGGGCATATAAATTTTCATATTATTTGCATGTATGTGTATGTATGTATATATTTAATAATTTTTTGTTTATTTGTTTAATGCTTAGTCAGAGTTGCCTACGCAAGTGAAATACTTCGAGTTAAATATTATGTTTAAAACTAATTTTAATAGTAGGCTTAATGCACGGCGCTAGTGAATAAATTAAAACTTACTTATTTGTAAATATTATCGGGTTCTCTTCCTCTTCAATAATGGCTTAACTAAAAACTGTGTTCTATGCCACACGCCCTCCATTCACCTCCATCTATCTGCTTAAACACTAGAAGCGGCGCTTTAAAATTTAAAATTAATATAAGTACATAGTTTTCGATTTATCTGAAATATGTGTTTTTGAATTGAAGCTACTACCAAGCACTGTTTTAATGTGTCTCTATTTAATGCTAGGCGTATCTACTAGCTTAGTCGCTCTTTCGAGTCGACGCGTTTTTGAGAAAAGTCTTTATATGCTATTTACAGAATGCAGCAATCTAATTTCCTCGCACTTTCTTATATATAGTACTCGTAGGTAGTATGTAGAACTGTAAGCTAACTTTTAATCGGGCTGCTCTACTTTAAGATGCTATTTACAACAAAATGGCGCAAACGTTTGCAACGTTCTATTCCTCCTCTCCTCCTGTTATCCTGTTATCCTCTTTTCCTACTCACTGGCTGACATATGAAGCACATGAACAATTTCATGTTCACCATCAATTTCCATTATATACTTATGTACAAACTGGGCATTATGCTAACTTGCGACTACTTATATAGTATAAGCCTTGGTGCCACGCCTACGTGCCATCGAGATATCGAATTCAATGCTGCAACTGCCGCCTGGATTGCACTTTGAGATCAAAAAACGCATCTACTTCAAGCTTACCGCCTTGGACCTGGGATGAGGGTCCCATTTAGTTGGCGCTGCCAAATAGCACCGAGTTCTTATAATAGGCCGTGGGCCGTTCGGCCAAAGGACTCTTCACATCGCGCTCGGCATTGGCAGCGCGGCTTTTGCGCTCCATTTCAAGCTCCTGCGCCAAAGACTCTACGGATATAAAGATGGGAGAGGGAAGGGAAATGTGAAATATTAAATTTAGAATGATTTTAGGTAAAATTTTAGTCGACTTAATAGCTGGTTTAAGTGTAAAAGAATTAATTGGCCTAATGTTTTTATTTTCAGTTACACTAATATTTCACCTGCAATCAACCTATAATTATGATATTGAAAAAGATGCTATTTTTAAAAATTATTTGAAACTTGATGTAATTGGAAGTCCGCTAACATTACAGCTTTATGAACTTATCACTGACTTTTGCCAAGACAAAAATAACAAAATCCCTTCAACATTTTTGCTTTAATATAACATTTCGATCCCCAAAACTATTTATGTAGATTCAAAATAAGCAAACCAATTAAAATGAATTCCAAATATGAATCTTTAAGTCGCTAATAAAATAATAAAACCTCCAAAAATGACAAAATAAAAATAACAAATTCTTGAACTTATAAATAAATACCCTTTTGTCGTATTCTCCCTATATATCTATCAACTATATCCATCATATGTCCATCAATGACATCATATTATACAGCCCACTCCATTCAGAGATATTTACATATATTCTCTCGAAACCTTCTTTAAAAAAAAAATATCCAACTACTCGACTCAGCTTTTACAAACACAAAATCTAAGCAGACCTCCCCTAAATTAGTTGTAGTTAGTTTTAACTTTAGAAATATTTGTAAAAACAAATCAAACCATGTTTCTTTATCAATGTATCACTAACAAAAAACAATTATCTAATTCTGTTTTTACACGGTTTGAAAATTACAAATTTCATATACTTGTATATTGAGATAAGGAACCAATCACCTATTTTTGTATTTGATAAATGTCTTTTTTACACGGTTGTTTCTGGAACCAATCTACCGTGTAAAAACAGAATTAGGCGTATATACCAATGCTATATGCATTTACTTGCAGTAAACAAAATGAAGGGAGAACAAACATATAGAAAGAATATAAATGCTTCGATTGTAATTCTTGAAAGTAAACCCCGTTAACTGAAAATTGTGAAGAGCCATATCTTATCCCTCTTGAGTTAACTTACCCGAGTAGTTCTGCCAGAAGGCGCCGGTGGCCATCAGGTCAATGCCCGGATAGTTCCAGGGCGCCTTTCCATTGCTGGCCGCCGCTGCTGCTGCGGCCGCTGCAGCCGCTGCCAGACTGCCCTCTGCTGCTGCTGCGGCAGCGGCGACAGCGGCCGCACTGGGGGCTGTGACGGGCGAGTGGGGGTCGTGGGAGCGCTCGTCGCGCTCACGACTGGAGCAGCGTGTTTGCTCATCGGACGCACGCTGACGCTCCATGGAGCCCTCGTGATCGGAGTGGGGCTCCCGCTTGAAGTGGGTGGGGCTCTCTGAGTGCTGGCGCTGTTGTGGCGTTTGCTGTTGTTGTTGTTGTTGTTGCTGTTGCTGCTGCAGATGCTGTTGTTGCTGCTGCTGCTGTTGCTGTTGTTGCGGCGTGGGCGTTACTGCAGCTGTGGGCGTGGCACAGCCGCGCGTTACATCACAGGAGCTCAAGGACTTGTCAGACTTATCACTGCCGCGACTGCCGCCATCGTTATCTATGGGGGTAAAGACAAAGCAGAGGGCGCTGTGTTGGTTAGAAAAGCGAAGGGAGGAACGAAGGGGTGAGGGGGTATTAGCCATGCGTATTGCGTGTGTTCGGCGGGTGCTGCACGACGACTGTTCAACTTACCTTGCTCTGGCCGACGCCCATTATCGCCGCTGCTGCTGCTGCTGCCGCACTTCGAGTCGCCGACGGCGCCAACGCTGCCAGCGCTGCCCGCACACTGATCCCCCTCGCTGCAGGCGCCCCCACCATTGCTCTTGTGCGGCGCCTGGCCGCCTCCCAACTGCTGTTGGTAGCGTATGCGTATCTTACGCTCTCGTCGGAAGCGCTTCTGATAGAGCACTGCAAGCACAAAGAGAGAGACGAAACAAGAGAGTGAGAGAGTGAAGGCAGGGGGAGAGAGAGAGAGACTTGTAACTTGAGCCGCCTGCCAACTCAACTGCGCATCCGCCTCGTGTGTGGGCGCCGCGAAGCAATTATGATTGATCCTGACTGCCTACAAAGAGAGCAGCAGCCACAGCTCTGTACGACCGTGGCCCATTAATTCAAGCGAATCATAGAAATTCAAGTCGTGCGCTCTGGGGTTGGGTTAGGTTGGTCCGGGTCTGGGTCTGGCTCTGGTTCTGGGCTTTGTGCCTAGTCGACAATCGAGCGATCAGCGATCAGTCAATGTGCGAGCACTGAAGCATTGTGACAGTCGTTTTGAGGGTGGAGCTGACATATCTAGCATTATTCCAATGCACAATGGAGCAAATGAAAAGCTTAAATGGGCAAAAATTAAGCAACATTTCTGGACTCCCCAAATAAAAGGCTTGAAAGAATGATGCTTTACCTGAAGACATGTGCAGACTTAGCCATCAGAAGAAGGGATTATATGGGATCAGGGAAAGAAGTAACACTTAAAAACTATCTCATCATCCAATTATGAATTGGGTTGAAGTAAACAATTTTAGAAATATGAATTTAATTAGGGGGTCAATATATTCATTTGCATTAGAGTACCACCACTTCGCGACGAAATAAAGCACAATAATGTCGAATTTCAAGCTGACAAGTAAAACGCAGAGACGCCTCATTTTTGTATTCTTGAAAGCATTTGTAGAAACAAGTCATTAACTAGGAAGCCTAGTCTTTTTGTCCACCATTTGAAGATATTAAGTAGCATTGGTAGGATAAGCTACTTAGTCGTTACTTTAATAAATATGCTATATACATGTATCATAAGCTGATTCCTAAAATACGCTAACGATCGGAAGATGATTTAAATTATAATTAAGACAAATTTTACACACAAGTTGCTGTTGCATTGGAAAAAATATACGAATATTAATATTTGACATTTAAATTAGACATATTTTCTTCAGAATCGCATACTAAGCATTACAAAGAACATTTTTCTTCAAAGTCCTCAGCAGCTTACAAAAGCTCTTATTGTGGGAACAACGGACAAAGAAATCGAAACCCAAATAGTGAATAGCAATACAATAATAATAATAGTAAGAAGACAGTTTTATGCCGTGGTCAGGCATGCAAATAAATTGCCTACAAATCTGTATTATTTTACAAGAGGGATTGAAAAGTAAATCTCAAAGAGGTTTCTTGTAGCAAGAATCCATATTTCAGTACACAATTATTTGTTTGTTTAAATCAAGTAAAATCCATGACATTGGTATAAAATTCAATAAATTTTCATGAAAATTATTTGTTTGTCTAACCATGTTTCAATTATTATTTCAAAACCACATACATATATTTAAAATTTTGTTTAAATCAAATGAATGAAATGAACGCCATGTCCATGAAAATATAATTTCAACTGCCCTAATTAAAAAATTGCAATTGCCAATAATAAAGCAACATCCCCAATACGATTAGATAAAGCAGTCAATATACCAGCATTATAAGATTTAAACTTTTTGAAAATAAATTACTAAGCAATAAGAAACTGTCCTCAAATCTAGGCGGCAATTAAATTTGGCAATAGTATCATAAGAAAATTGGAGCTTTCGCTGGCGGAATATTTTCACTTAGTACAATATTTCACTGCGAAATACTCCAATAATCCGAAAGCATATTGAATGTCCCACATGCCATATGCTTTACTATATACATAGTATGCATCGGTACGATCCACGTGGGTGGCATTGCGCCCACGCTTCTAATCGATATGTTCTTTTTGCAATCTGTGCAACCACAGCAACAACAACAACAACAACAACAGCAACAAGAAAACAGCCATCCGACTTCGTCTCGATGTTTATCGCAGTGTTTTGGCTTTATTATTAGTTGCAATTAGATGTTTGTGCTCCACGAGCAGTTGCAATTGCAGTTGCATGCAATTTGGCGCCCCAGCTCCGAAGACCACAGCAACATATGTTCTCAACTGCAGAGCGAACGGGGCGGCACCGCCATTTCTAAATGTAGTTTCGGTTTTTGATTTATGTTGTTTTGAATGCAAAGGCAGCGCATAATTTGCCCGAGATTAAGTTATAGCTGCCTCATGCGGCATGAGGAATGGGGCATGCGGCAGTGCAATTACACTCGAAATGCAAACTCGACTTGTGGGTGTTACACCAACTGTTGGGAGTCGAGCGGCGCTGAAATTTGAGGGCGGACATATAGGTAGCTATATAACTACCGAAACTTAAGTGCCTGGCGAGCTGATTGGAAGCCATCAGAAGTGAAGTCAACGCCTTAAATGCCAAAACAAGAAAATGCGCCAACTACGGGTCAACAATGTAAATGATGCCGATTTCTCAATGCTTATGTCTTATGCAATCTATGGGAGCTTTAAATTATGAAAGAAATACTGCCAAGTTTCGGTTTTGAGGATCGGCCAAGATTTCTCTTTAATTCCTTAAGAATGATGCTCACAAACTATGAATTCTAAAGTCTTGCTTCGAGTACCTATTCACCATTTCGGATTGACTGGAAAGATGGTCTGCATTGCGGCAACAAAGACATATGGACAATATTTAAGCCAAGACTTCTCTTTAACTTAAGCTATAGGGATTCTAGAGTGATCGATTCTTGTTTCGAGTCCCTATTCCCCATTTTAGATTGACTTGAAATATGTTTGGTATTGCGGCAGCAACGCCATATAGACATATTCAAAGACCAGATCCAGCTCTAGCGACTTTAATATGAAAACATATGGTTTAAATTACAAATTTTAAGGTAAATTACGACGAAATTGTAAGTCTCTGGTTAAGCAAATTAAAGCGCGTAATCAAACTTGTCCACCTCAGCCAAGTCGAAGCTGTAAAAAAAAACTATAGCAGTCCGTTCGATTTCAAAACATAACATTTTGTGCACGAAACTTTCGATTTAAATTAAATTTAGATCGTGCATACTTCTTTAACAACTTAACTCCTTTTTAAATATATTAACAAGTTATGTGTCCATAATAGCGCTATACTTTCAAGCTGAGTCATTAAACCAACCCCCAATCCTGCACACTAATTGACAACCCTTTTTAGAGTCATCGACTCATCCAAAAACATAACAAGCAATTAAAAGATGTTTGTGCCAAATGAAACTTTTTGTCTGTAACTAAAAGCAACTCGAATTCCACTCGCACTCGCACTCTCCCCCCCTCCTAGTTCCCCGATCAGACCAGAGACAGAGAGTCAAGCAACGACCATTATGTCTTATGATGTGGCGTCGTTCGTTCTTGTCGTCGTTTGTAGCTACTTTTTGCCAAATCATTCGAGTGTAACTAAATAATGAAATGATATTAAATTCATTTGAATTGTGATTTCTGTTGAAAAAGGCAGGCAAGCCCAACAACAACAACAACTCGAACAAGAGCAACCACTATGGGGCTCGAGGCTCGAACGGCAAAGTCTGCCTTAAAACCCTTTTGCGCTGACTTAAGGCAGCATGGTTGCGACCACCCCGAGCGCGGGAGAGGGGGGTACGCAGCATATCAGGTGTCATTGTCATTTGAGTCAGTTTGCATTAAGCGCACACGATTGGAGTTAAAACATTTGGCATAGTACGGAGTACAGTGGAAGCTCACATTAAGGGAAGATCTAGTTGTGCAGGAAATGCAGATATTTCCGAAAGAGACCCACTTTCAAAAGCACCACTAGCGTTTTACGCATGAAATTTGTACCTCAATTGGGTTAAATAGTACTAGAAGATTTACATCGAAGCATTTAATTTGCATCGCGTATTGGTTTCCTATATAAAGAGTTAATTGAGTTCCATTTATGTCAAAACAGTCCCACTTTCAAAAGCACTTCTAGCGTTTTACGCATGAAATTTGTACCTCAATTGGGTTAAACAGTACTAGAAGTTCGTTCTGGATTCGCATCGAAGCATTTAATTTGCATCGAATTGATTCCCTATATAAATAGGTCCTTGAGTTCCATTTATGTTATTGTGAGACTATTGCTCCCACATTTGGAATGGGGCTATTTGTGGAACATTTCACTGTTATATCAGGGCAACAAGAGATGGTTTCTTTTCAAACTTACCACGCAATTTACGCTCATCGACGAGCTGCCGTTCCAGCGAATCTTTGACCTCTCGTTCGCGCAGCACATCCATCTTTAGCTCAGCTGCATGGCCAAGAGAAGAAGCAAGAAAGAAAAAGGGAAAGAGAGAAAGAGAGAGAGAGAGAGAGAGAGAGGATGACATTAGTTACGGTCACGAGACTCACGACACAACGTCAGCGTCGACGTCGGCCACTTTGCATATCAAAGGCAGTTGGTCGATCGGGAGTCGTGGCATATTTAATGCTGCGGCCCACTCACCTTTCTCATAGCTAATCTGTCGCTCCTGTTGGCGCGCATTATCCGCCGCCACCTTCAGCAGACTCTGAATGTTGCGCAGCAGCGTCTCCGTCGATGAGGCGGGCACAGCGGCGTGCGCATCCAGGCCCAGCGGTCCGAGCGCCAAACCGCCCGCCAACGCAGCCGCCGCAGTAGCATCGTTGGCAGCGAGCAGCGCCTCGTTGGGCGTCAGAGCGCCACCGGCCGCACCACCCGCCGGTCCATTGGCGAGCGCTGGATTAGCCACAGCGACTGCCGCACCACCCGCCCCATTGGCGACGGCTGCAGCCGCCGCCAGCTGCGAGTAGTTGAGCGCCCGCTGATGCTGCAGAGCAGCCACAGCGGCTGGCGATTGCTGCAGAGCGGCGGCGGCAGCTGCGGCAGCGGCAGCAGCTTCGCGATCGCTGGCCGAAGCTGTGGGAGAGCCGCGTGCCAAATGCTGATGATGGTGCTGGTGCTGCTGATGCACCAGATGGTGGGCTGCCTGATGCGCTGCCGCGTGTTGTTGTTGCTGCTGCTGCGCGTGCGAAGCAGCGGCCGCATGCTGATGGAGATGTGCAGCGGCGGCGGCTGCTGCGGCAGCGGCCGCTGAGCCCGTGGACAGATTATCACGCTCCGTGTCACTCAAGTCTGTAAAGCACACACACACACATGCACAAATAGATGACAGAGTTGCATTGTCAGTCAAGTGAAGTCGTTGCTCGTCTCGCGTTTATCGTTATCGCTTTGGCATGCAAAGTTCACTCACCCTCGTCGTCTTTGCCGAGGCAGCGTTCATCGACTTCGGACTGATTCTCATCACTCAAGTTCTCCTCGTCCTCGTCCTCGACACCAATCACACCGCCCCGACTGCCATCGTCCAAGCTGCGGGCCCGTGGCGACGCCGCCGTTGAGTGACAATCGCTGCGTTCACTGCCCGCGTCGCAGTTGCTGCCGTGATCGGTGTTGCCGCCGGATTTCGAGAGATTCAGCACGGGACTCTGGCGCGTGGGTGAGCCTGCGAATGAGAAGACAAATTCCATTAGAGCCTCAACTATCTCGCTTTTCCTCAATGTTTCAACTCCACATTCACGACCTACTTCTAAAATTCGACAATTTTGTGTGCAAATTATTTGCCTGTCTGACCACAACTTTTTGAAAATTCATTTTATGTTGTTTAACTAGCAGTTGCACAGACAGTCTTAAACACTCACTAGTTTTGATAGAAGTTGTTAAAAGTCGTTACTTACAATTGCGTGAGCTCAGATCCCTGGGCTTTATGTCGCCCACAGCGCCGCCAGCGCTTAACTGTTGTCGCTCATCTGTACGCTCCTCGCGCAAACGCTCCAAATGCTTCACGATATCCTCGTAGGCGGCCCGACAATTCTCCCATATGCCCGATCGGGCCAATGCGTCCATATTAGCCGCAGACATGCCACTCTGTGCTGCCGCCTTCAGCATTTGGCTCTCGGGACGGGCATGCAGTCCATGAGGCGGCATTCCGGGGGACATGAGGGCCGCCGCGCCCGGATGATGTGCATTCATCTGCATGAAGGCCATGTGATTGATGGGCGGGGGATTGTAGCCGTTGGCCAGCAGCGGCGATTTCTCCAGACGATTCATATCTGCAATTGAATGTGGGCCATGGCGCATATTTAGATAAACTGTTTTGGAAATGAGGAGATAAATGTTGTGGAAATCTGGCTTACATCAGGTTGTCTTAGGTATGCTTAAATGTAAATCGAACAATTGAGAGGTGTTAATAATTGAAGCGACCAGTTTCAGAGGAAAAGTGGAGCGCAATGTGTTAATCTTAAAGAATGGCCGAAACGAATGGAGTAAGCAGTGTTGGAAGTTGGGCAGAAAAGCAGACTGAAAACAAAAACTTCTAGTGTCTTGGATGTGAGAAATCTGGGAAGTCTACAAAAGTATGCCTTTTACAATTTCCAGTACTTTAACAACATTTCTTCATTTCTATTCTTCATCTTCATTTATGACTGGAGATACAAGTATATAGTATTTCAAAGTTTTTAAAATTTAAACAAAATTCTAGTAGAAGAAATTAATCCTATTGGCTAAAAAAATATAACAAGAGAATTAACTTCTACAATTTATTTCATTACATTTATTTTAAAAGCTGAAAATGTTCGTTTAGTTGAATTTGCTTCTAAGCTCGAAATCAACAAATTATTGTTATAATTTATTTTGTTCGCTTTACTAATTAATTATGTCTTTAAGCTACAGCAATATGTTTAGAGAGGTTTGAATACTTGAATAATTTGGAATAAAAGCCTGCCATCATTGTGATTTGGCTTAAGCAGACCTGACTGCTGGCCAAGCAGATTTCTAATTAGATTTCTATAACATTTACTGCCGGCTAGCCTCAAATAGAGACGAGCAAACAAAACAGAGCTCGTTATATCTTTTTGTTGAATGCATATTTATGTAGACTGCCTCAATTGTTGGTAGATACATACTCGTATATATAGTAGCATGTGTGTGTTGTCTGGCTAGACAAATTGCAAATTATATTGAATATGAACTGACATGTTATATGTATAAATTATCTAAAAGCTACAAATGCCACCCTCGTGCCCGACAATTCCAGTCGGCCAGTCGCTTAGTTTTTTAATGGCGTGCAGACTGCCACCTGTTTCGACATACAAAGATACCTATATATAGTACATATATAGCCGGTATATATTAAATAGCTATTGTCTGCGCGGCCAGACTAAAAACGGCAGCTAAAAATACATGCACAACCACCTAGATACAAGAGTATCTACATATATGCTGCCCACTGAATTTGTTCTCAGCTCGCTTACATACATACATATATTGATTATATAGTATATACGTATATATATAAGTAATTTGTATGTATGTATGTATATGGGATGTCGATTTGCGCCGGCATTTGTGACAAGCTGTCATTAAATGGCTGGCCAGTGTCACTAAATTGCAACGTTTTATTAAATTGTCACAAGTTTCATATTTTTGTTGTTTGTTGTTTGTTGTTGTGTGTTTGTTTATTGTTGGTTTTGTATCTACGAGTTTGGTGCGCAAATGAAATTGCACAAATGTTCAAAGTGCTGGTGCCGCACACTTTTGAGAATGCAATTAAATTTTTAGACTGCATTCCAGTACACACTATTCGAGTAGAATACTCCCGTGAATAGTGCAGTATCACCTAAAAGTCAACGCCCATAATTCACTCAATGGAGGCGAACAGAGCAGATGAACAGAACCTACATACATACATATATGAGATGCGTGGCGCATCTTTTGATGACTCCGTGACTTGGCAGGTTTTGGGAAGACTGAGGCGTCTAAGGCGCCGCCGGCTGCGAGTTCTTAAGAAACAGAGTGTACCCAAATGAAAGAGATATTCGACTTTTATATGAACATATTAAAGCCAACGAATGTATGTGAGTGTGTATTCGTACAAATCACGACTAGACACATTAATAGAAAGGGGCGTGTCGCCTGTCAGCATTTACAATGCTCAGGAAACCCTAGAGATAGAGAGAGGTTGTTCGGACAGATACAACAGATACTCGCGTATGTAAAAATCAATTAAATTGCGCGCACAGAGTCTCATGTTACTTTTCTATGTACTTATGATAATTACACAACAACAACAATAACCACAACAACACAACAAATACACATAATGTACGAGTATCTGCAACAATTCAAAAAAGAAACCACAAATGCGCATTGAATCTGTATCTGCATTCGAATTTGTATTTGTATCTCTCTTTGTGTGTGATTTCCTGCATTACAAATCATATGCCTGCCGATTTCGGTTGATTGCTATTTGCTGCCTGCTTGTTGGTCCAAAACAACAGAAAAACGGCCTTTATCTCAAGACTCAAGACTTCCTCGAAACGTGAACAAGAAATCACATCGCGAGCCGAACGCTTTAGGTACATTTTGTATCCGTCGTAATAATAAAGCGCGCTGCAACCAAAGTGGCATCCACAAATCAAATGTTGCCCGTTCTGCCCTCAAACATGGGCTGCCACTCTGGATCTGGCTCGGACTCTCGGCCTGCAATGGCGGCTAACTGTGCAGAGGAAAAAGTACGAGTATCTGTGAACGCTGCTGGCCATGATCTGCAACTGCCAGGCTGCGACTTCAAATGATTTCATTTACAATTCAACTGCATTTGCTGATTGATTTCCACAACAACAACAGCAACAGCAACAACAACTACTACTATTACTACTTGAACTCAACAGATACGTCGTTATGTTTACGACGCTGCCGCTGGGCACGACAGGCATAACATTTCAATTCTTCTTTCAATTCATGACATACTCGTCCATCATCGACTGGCCAAATTGGCTGGGAATTTCAATGTCTAGCCAATTGGCAATCGCCAATTTACTTACCACTAATATGGCCATTCTCGTAAGCATAGTCCCCATTGTCGAGTCGATGCTTCTTCAGCTGCGGATGCTGTGTGAGGTGCGTCGGGGGCAGCGATAAGCCAACGGGGCCCCGTTTCGGCGGTCTACCCGGTCTGGAACTGCGGAATTGCAGAGAGTTACTGTTGGGTTGAAACAATGACAATGGCTTGGTATCAGTAAACGGTGATGAGCACAATATGCACAGACCAACAATAACAGAGTGGATAGCGGGGAGGATTGGAGGGGTTGTGATTTCACTTCTGGGTGAATTGTAATCGTAGTTGTGAATTGTGTTTACTTGGGGAATTTGAGTGTGCTGCGTACATTGTTGGCTGTGTTGTGCTGCATTATTAATTTCAGAAGAAGAAATTGACTTAAATTATAACATACAAGATTGATTAAAAATATTATTTATTTTAAAAATATATTTGAGAGTTAAAAAGAGCGAAAAATGTATAAAGTCATTATAGAGTTTTGTATAAATATCTAACTACCTATAATTAACAATGAAACGGAACCATTACTTGACCAAATACAAATATATCATTATTTTTAAATGCTTCATAGATTTATTAAACTGAATAAGATACAAATTCAGTTTAGGTTTAGCTGTAGTTCAGACTTGGCTTGAGTTCAGTTTTGTGTATCAATACATTCACACTTTTTTTCAGATTTAAAATCCAGCAATCAATGAAACTGTTAGATTTCTTTGAAATTCTATAATATTCTGTATTTCTGTAACTCTCTGAAAAGTGAAACTCTTGTTATTCCTTTAACAAGTGTTTCGTTTTTCCCAGTGTTCCAAGTGATTTCCAAACGTTTCTTTAACAACTACGTTTATAGAACAATGGAATTAAACTAGCTTCGCAAAGTTTTAAAAGTATTTCTGAATATAGGACCAGATGGTGTACAGCTTTTCAACGGAGAATATCATTTTTGTACCCAAAGTGAGTGAATTGGAAACCTTAACAGATATAGGGGAGGCGTACCTTTTATTCATTCGAATCCGAAAAAAGTTTAATGTAATATAGGTATGTATACTATATGTACAAGTATTTCTATATTTTATTTGAAATACAAACAAAATCTTAAAAAATCATCCCTGATATAATTCTACTTCATGGCAATAGGTATTGTTAACAATAAATCCACCACAGTAACAATACGTCTACATATGAAACGGCATTGTTGTTAACAATAAATCTACCAATGAAAGAGAAACTCTACAGTTCTATTGCTCGTAGTATAAGTTTTAATATTTCTGTAAGATCTTAATAGGCAGCCCCCTGCCGCAGAGCTTCGCACGCAACATTTCTGTGGCGATCGTAAAAAATGTGCTACCGATTTAATTGTGTGCCATAAAAAGAATAAAGAAAAATAAGAAAAACTATTTGCGTTCTTATTTAGCGTAATTTATGCCTGCAATTGCTGTTATTTGCTTTGAAAATATTTAAACAAGTCTAGGCAAATAGTTCACATACCGACCACAATGGTCCCAAAAAGCACAAACAAGTTTACAGAGCAGGAAGTTGTGACAAACAATACTCGCACTGGGCTAGAAGTTAGATAAAGGAGATCTGTATCTGGTTGCGGCTGCAAATAAACAAATACTAGTAGCCGGAAACTAAGCAAATACTCGTACACGATGCTGGTTGAGATCTCGAGATGTTTTTTGGGGCCAAGCGCCAGCTGTCGAGTGAATCAGAGATCCCCTATGTATCTCTCCACCTCCAACCATTTAGATTGGAGCCGCAGGCACGAGAGCAATTAAAAAATTACACAAAATATTTTTTTAAATGTTTGTGCGCAACAAACACAACAAATAATCGTACACAGCCAGACAAATAAACACAGGTAGCAGTTTCTAGAAGACACAGATTGAAATATTTATGGCCGTAATTGTGCGTAAGTGCAGCATGGCATGTTGGTTAACGCAATTGCAAATATTTACAGTTATTTAAACAATAAATATTTGAATATCAACCCATTTACTGCTTCTGATTCTGCTCCGAGACTTCATGGTGCAACGCGGTTGCACGATTAATGGAGTCACTGTTCGTTGGGTGCATGGGGTCATGTTTAATGTTTAATATTTAATATTTGGCATTTAATATTTGGCCTCTGCTAATGAATCGCACAACTTTCAATTCGACCATAAAAGAAATGGGAATAGCGCACGATTTTAAATTAAATTTAATACTTTTTATTTTCCGCTAAGCCAAATCGGAAGGTCGAAGCTGACGTGCAGCATGAGCGCCCATTTATGTTGTTGTTGTTGTTGCTGGTTGTTGCTGGTTGTGCGTGTGTCAGTTGGGTGTATTTGAATGTCAGTCAAGTTAATGAATTTATGAAGAGTGTTTCGTCAGTTGGGGCAACACTTGTTCTTGTTAACGGCGATAAGCAGGGCGACTTCGTGTATCGCAACAAGGTCTGTTTGCTTATGTTTGTGGGGCACTTTCATAGAAAAGCTTTCTGCGCTGAGTGAAAAGTGCATAGACGCGTTTATCTTGTTTGTGATAGCCCGAAATGGGGTTTCTTCATAATTCTCGTCATTTGGATAAGTTCGGATAAAATCGGATAACGTCGGATAACGGCATTATGATGTCCTGACAGTCATTTGCCTCTTCAAAATTTAAATAAAGCACGTGAAATACGAATAAATAACACAAAGTCTAGTTCGGTTAGATATGTAAGTAGTACTACAAAAAAACATGTTTGTACATACGGTGTATGTATTTAGTTGTTTGTTTTTTAAAAGATATATAATCTTTTGATATTTAGAACTAGTTTATTTGCGCAAATGCCTCTAAAACAATATGCTGTTTAAACAGAGTGAATTAAATAAACGGATTTTGGGCAATTTTAAATAATGCGAAACACTAATACTATAATTCTAATAACTGTCCAGTTTATCCAGTTCTACAAATATGCCTAAAGAATGAAGATCTTTAATTGTGTGCTTTGTTAGACTTTTCTAAATAATTTATGTTATGCCGGATAAAAGCGAGAGTAGTTCTCTAAAGCCGGACAATGGTTATTAATGCATACTTCAAATAGTCGGCAACGGATAACAATATTGTACGATAATTGTAAAGCAACCATTTTCAAAGAATGAAGTCCTTTGGTTATAAGCTTTCTTAGAAAATATGTAAAAACGATGATCTGCCGGATAAAAGCGAAAGTACTCTTCTAATGCCGGATAATGGTTATTATTGCCTCTATGTTTACTTCAAGTAGTCAAGTATTGAAACTATTCGCTAAATGTAATATATTTAGCTTCGGATAAGAATGTTTTACGATATTTGTAAAACAACCATTTCCAAAGACTGAAGTCCTTTGATAATGTGCTTTTTTTGAGTTTATAAAAGGGTGATCACTTGCCGGATAACAGCGATAGTTCTGCTATAATGCCGGATAATGTATATTTCTGCAGTAATGCTTAGCTCAAGTACTTGTGTGTGGAAATTATGCGCCAAATGCAATTTGTTCAGCTGCGGATAACTGTTTCTCTCTCCCTCTTATCCGCGCGATCCATGCGTACACACTTTAACTGTCAGTTAACTAATTTATGCACCGTCGCCACTTGCAGCAAGTGTCAAATTTTGTTGTTTTTTACGTTTTTACCCGCCAGCAACAACAACATCAGCATTGATGACGACGACAACCACAAACGTTTAGTCAGGAATAAACAACAATTTGTCAAAATAGTCGCACAACTACAACAAGTACACGGGGGCTGCCAAAACAAAACCATCAAAGTGTGGCGTTGTGTCCGAAACCGGTTCGTCGGCTCGTCGGTTTCTTTCGTGTCCGTGTCCAGGTCCAGGTCCAGGTCTGGACCTGGGTCTAGATCCAAATGCAAAAGGCATCGCGAAAATTGCTGTGTCTGGAAGCCAAAAGCAAACCAGTTTGCAGCTGTGCTGTTCAGTGCTGTGCGTCGCCTTCTCCTTTGCCAACAATATGTAATACATAAATATATTTCAATAATCAAGGGATAGCCGAGTTGTTAATTATTGACTTGTGGCACAGCAGCCGCCAAAATATGCAACACTTACGGGTACGAGTACGAGTACGAGTTCGAGTCGCTAACTACGACTAGTACGAGTATGAGCCCATAATATCCATTTCGAGTGACTCTACACATTTCCAATTGCATAAATGTGGGGCGTGGCCGGCATTTGTCAGCGCATTTTATATAAATACGAGTGTAGTACTCGTGTCTACCAACTTGAAGTTAAACTCAACGTCAACGTTAATGTTAACGTTAACGTTAACCCACTGCCCACGGGCGTGTCTCGTACGATTGTCGTTTTAAATTGGCAAATCAATTAAATTTATGGCCACGTTGCCACCTTGCAACGAAGCGTGTGATTGCAAACGCGAGTAAATCAATGAAATGCAGCAACAGATAGATTTTTCATAGCCATTATGCAATGCCATGTAAGTCGGGGCTTTAATTGAATTTCAAATTGTTTTCATCCACTGCTCGCATGCCATTTGTCTATTAGTTACCATCGCCTTTGAACTCTGGCGCATAATTCTCTGAGCCGCTTGCTTCGAGCTTTCCACGAAGAAGCCCTCGTCATAGACAAAGTCAAAGTATTCTTGGCCCTAATTGTCCCTTGTAGTCGGCTCGGGTTTCAGCTCAACTCGTTTAGCTGCAGTTTCTGGAATTGGCTAAACAATACGTTTTATAGAATTCTGCTGCAATGCGCTCGGCTCGTCTCGTTTGTTTTCAATGTCAGCTCATGTTGTTGAATTCATTGTAATGCGGCATGCAAATGTACAAATGACATGGCAGTGCTCAGAAGGGCCGACCCATTGCTAATTGTGGGTTCTGCAACCACTGTAGCATGTGTGTCCCAAATGGACTACGAATTGGCGGGCCTGAATGCTCGCATCGACTATTATTGAAGCGCACATTTTATTTGAATGGCCATACTTCAGAAAAGTTGCAATAATTTGAAGAGCAGTTCACAAGTTGTCAGCAATGCGCGCACTTCTTAAAGGCAGTTACAGTGTTGATCAACAACTTAATTATAAAGTGTTGATCAACAGCTTTAATTATTAAGTGTTGTACACTTGACGTCGATTGGAAGAGAGCTCTTATTTGTCAATAAAGTGAAACGTATGATGACGATCTTCATTAGTAAATAGCAGTTTTTAGTCTTAAGATGCTTGAATAGTATGATTCTTTAAAATCAGCCATAAAGGATTATGAATATATTCATGAACACAACAAATAAGTGATTTTTCTAATCTTGAACTAACTCTCTATTAAATATATATTATTATGTTTGTTTGTTTTAAAATTTTAGGCCTTATTTTAAGAATTGTTGGACACGTTGGATTGCATAGATAGCTGTTGTTATATATTTCAAAACTGCAAACATTTTAAATGAATTCATATTTCATTTGTTTCGTTATTGCTTTAGAAGCTTCCATTCCTAGCACTCTTTTTTTTGAGAAATAATTATAAACTAATAGTGCTTTGCAAAAATTATGATTGCATTACGCTAGTAATTTTTTAATTTTAATTCATAATTTTTTAATTAATGCACGTCTTTAATCTGCTACAGAATATATTTTTGCCTTACCTAACATTTTAAACTCTCTTTTGGGAAATTATAATTCAATTATAATCCTAACATGTAAAAGTTTTCAAGGCCCAGCAGTATTGGGCACACTATAATATGTAATACACTATAATTGTTGCTTGCAGTGCCATTTCCATATTCGATTTCTTTGGCAGGCAACAGGGGCCCACTCGTAAGTATTTTCGCATATTTCTGGGCCAGTTTTTGTTTGTCTCCTCATCTGCCTCTGCGCAGTGCAGTTCACTTCAATTTCAATTGGCGTGCTAATAACTCATTTAGTTCGCATAAAAATTGCAAACATGCAGAGCTGCTTTAATTTTGCCTTTTTTTTATTTTTAATTCAATTTTTTGTAGTGCTGCCTGCAACTGAAACTTTGTGTGTCGATGTGGATGTCGTGTGTGCGCGCCTTTTTCTTTCAACAGCCACAAACAAACTGCTAATACCGCTGCCACCCAGTAAGGCAGCCAGTGCGGCAGGTAGGTAGCCAGGTATAGTGAGGCACACAATAGGCACCCATACTAAGTATATACTAACTATATAGCCCGCTGCAGATCCGCCCCCCAGCCGTCGCGAACATCTCGTGCGCGCGCATTTGATTTAACTTTTTGCTGATGCTGAGAATGTTTTGGCGGCTGCGTCGGTTTGAGGGACTGGGCGGGGTGTTGGCGCTGGTGGGGCCTGCAGGGGGCTGTGTAATTATTTATTATAAAAATAAATTGAACTATTGTTGCTTCATTTATATTAACAGCAACAATGCGGACGATGCTAGAGCTGCTTTTGTTATTTGGTTACACTCAATTAAGTCGCATTTGCAAAATGCAAATAATACAGAAACAGAAACAACAACAACAACAACTCACACCTCGCAGCCAGGCGTTGCAACGGTAAAAGCACATTTAATATTTTAGAAATTTAATTAAATTTAATATAATTTTACACTTCTTTTCGACAGCCCGCGGAGTTGCTTTGACTTTTCTGATTTGAACAGTTTTATAGTTGCTGTTGTTGTTCTTGTTGTTAGCAATAATCATAAATTACAGTCGGAAAAAATTGCATAGCATTTTGATTTTTAAACAAATTATAAATCACTGCGCTATCGTAATTTGTCTTAAGTTATTTGCAATCAATTTTTTTTTCTATCGTTATATGTCATGTCTGTGTTGTTTAAAGAATTGCATTCATAGACTTGCATTGAAGGCATTAAAGATTTGTGTACTATTTTAAAAAAAGGTATTATTTTAGATGTAGTTATTAAAACAGAACGCAGTCTGACTAGAGAAACGGAATCTTGAAATATGAGATACCGAATCAAACCAGCAATCGTAATGATAGGCTGAATATTTTTAGCAAATTGTTTCTTGATCAAATTTGTGATTAATTTTAACTTATCTCTTAGATTCCGTATACTCTCCAATGACCGAATTGGGTTTGTTTTGTGCTTTAGTTTTTCATTTTCTCTCTTAATGGGTCTTTTCATCCAACAGACTGAATTATATGCGATCACAGCGGCAAATATTTTGCCCACAACTTGAAATATTTATTCAGGTAATAAAATTTTAGTAAAACCTGAACTGTATTAGGCACAGTAGATAGATATAAAAGAATGTTTTAGTCTATTTTAGTTGTAATATAATACAAGTCTCATCATTCTGGCGTTTTTTCCTGGAAAAGTGTGTGTGTTTTATTTAGAAATGCTGCAGAATTATCAGATAAGGAAGGATACCCATTTTGGACAACTTTCTCATAGTTTTTTTTTGTTCATAGTTGAGATCTGTTTTCTATAGTTCCCACAAAAATTTGCCAAGCTCAGATGATTTGCGGCCAAGCCCCCCACATATTGAGGCTATCAATAAAAATTGAGTTGAAATTTGTCAACAAATTAAAGTCGCATGGAGTCGAAGTCAATAGATTGGCATTGTTTTCTTACAAGCTTACAAGAGCGCGGGCAATTTGCATATTTGCGGTTTAGTTCAGCTTCATGAAAACTACTCCAATTTACGGGTAAGTCGAAAGGTGTGCCCACAAGCCAAGTCATAACACGTTTGGCCGACTGTCTCTCTCTCTGTGAGTGTGTGTGTGTTATTTTTTTCTTTATTTTCTTCAGCGATTTTAAACGGCATTTTAGTTAACGTGGCGCGGCTCCAAAGAGACAACGGCCAACTGTCAACTCAGATCGAATTCAATATGCTAAAGCCAGCAAGGCAAACGAAGCGGCAAAATGCGTTGCCCCAAGCCGATTGAAGACTGGACGGACTGGACTGCTTGACTGACTGACTGACTGACTTAATGAGTGACTGTTGAAGTGAGTGCTTGTGTAGGCGCACGTTAAATGTCAGTGTCAATAGTTCTTGATTCTCTATATACAAACGAGTATTGAGATAGATGTTGTTTTGCTTGGCTAACAAAAGCGCCGAGTTCGAAAAACCAAAAAAAAAAACGTAAATAATATTGAAAAGAAAAGAAGAAAGAAAGACAAAGTGCCATGTGGAAAAAGCCCAAAAAGTAGGCAAACAAATATAATAAAAATTATTGCAACGTAACAAAAACTGATGAGCTCAAGAGTGTTTTAGAGTGAAAAACAACATTAGGAATGCGAATATAATGACTTTTGCATTAGTGTGTCCTTTTTGTCTGCCGCAATACATATGTACATATATATTATACAAGTATATATCTATATTTCTCCTACTAATAGCGCTTCTTTAGAAAACACAGCCAAGTACTCGCACTGTGCCCACACACCTGTCTCTGGAACAGGACAGACACCGTTATATTAACGCTTATCAGCACATTTACACGCTCTATTTACGCTCTCTTATCCTGTCCACTCACACAGACACACAAAAACACACACACACACACACAGAATAGACTTGCATTTCCGCACTTTCGATTCACAAAACTCGTTCGGCCCATATCCGTTCACAAACAACACAACACAACGCAACGCGAACTAAGTAATTTAATAAACACATTTTTCGCTCTAAAAACTCTCAAGTGTACATCTCTATATATGCGATCGATTAATGCCGCTGCTCGAATTTATAAAATTGCCATAGTTTTTATTATACTTGAATGTTTTACCTCTCTGGTGGCTTGATCGATAGGCATCTGCAATTAAAAAGAGAAGAAGAGAGAAGTGAAGTAATACACAAGCAACAACAAAATGCAATATATGTAAGTATAGTAGTGGTGTGTTTAACTTTTAAGGAATAATATTTCATTGATACACGCTGCGAAAAAATAGCTCAATTGTTAATACATTTTTTTTTTATTGGATATTTTGTGTGGGTCAGCAATAATAAATTATTTCACTCTTCTCCGGAACGCTCTTTTCCCACTCTGCGGAATTTCTTTCTCTCTCTCTCTCTCTCTCTCTCTTTATAATAATTATATTAGCTACTAAATAACTCCAAATTTATCGGATAACGGAAAATATATTTTGTAAATATTTTGTTTATTGTTCTATTTACAGTTCTGTCTTCACTTGATGGTGTATGGCCGGTTGGGAGCTAATTTGATTCGATTTTTCCTATTCCTATTCATTATTCTTAAGTTTATATTGTTATTATTATATTAAAATGAACAAAATTATTAAAAAACAGACCCCCATAATTATAAACTATAACTAAACTAAACAAAAACACGATTTTGAAACAAACTATAAATAATTCTAATAGTAAATAATTCCAATTGTGTTTTGCATCCTTGACATTTTTTTTTATTTTTATTTAAGTTTTTTAAATAAATGCCTAACTTATTCTCTCGTTCCCCAAACGTTGTATTGTTCGAATTTTGAAATTTGTTTTCGGCTATACTATTTTATAATACTTTCTTATTTTCATCATTGCTTTGCGAATATTATGAAAATTATGATGATTATTATTTGTATTATTATTCAACCTTATTGTAATTATTACGATGTTATTTTTCTTGAAGTGCGCCATAAAACTTCAATGCCAGGCAATACAGTGTGAAAACGCACACGCCCATTCCCTACCCCGCCACCTCTGAACCGCTCCTGCCGTGCCTTCAGCCTGCGGCCGCCCTCCCTCTTTCTCTCTCGCTCTCTGAATGCGCAATAAAAACGGTTCGAAAAGAAAGCTTACGCGCTACAGCAGCAACAACAACATTACAACTAGAATACGAACAACAACAACAACAACTACAGTTTGTAATTACACTGAGCACATCCACACACACAAACACACTCACACACACACACGGCTCAGAACACGCAGTGGGGTGCGAGCCCGCTTCGAAACAGGACCATGGCCAGGCCACTTACATAAAAACTGCCTTTGGCGGTTACACGCGTTACCCTTTTTGGACAGACCGGCAGAAATGCACACATGTGTGTGAGTACGTGTGTGTGTGTGTGTGTGTGCGTTTTGGGTCTACTACATACATACTATACATGTCCGTTCTCTTCTTGTTTCAATTTAGCGCAAGTTTTTGTGCTAATAATAGGCTTAACCGCATTTTTAACTGTTCTTTTGGTCGGCTGTTGGCCGCACAGGCGCTACAGAGCCACAGAAAGACTTAATTCAGAACCTGGCTAACTAACCGACTGCCTGAACGGTCTGCCTAACTAACTGATGGCCCGCTGAGTCTGAGCCCAAGCTCTTGCTATTTTTACAGCTCTTGCGCTGTTCTGGCCATTGTTTCATAATTAACAAGATGGGTTTCCATTGCATTTATTGTGGTAAGTCAGCTTTGGTTTTTACAAACGGTTACGTTTTAAATGCTTTCTACTGCCAACGGGAGGCGACGATTGCATGGAAAGCAGGCTATTTAGTTTTAGCATTTGAAGTTAGAGTCGCATTGAACAGAAAACCTATTTCAAGAGAATTTAACACTTTCCTAACTCTGCAGAAATCGTAGACAAACATTATTAATATTATTATCATTATTGTTAACAGCATTGACATAAAAATTGGAATTTTCAATAAAATTCAGAACTCAGAGAAGCAATCATCATTTCAGATCGTAAATATGTTAAAAGTTCTTAGCTTTTGAATATCAGTATGAACTTAACGATCTCTCTATGGAATACTGATTTTTGAATCGATCACAAGGATATTTGCAAGATTAACTTTCCTGAATATAGGCTATACACAATTTATATTTCTGATTTTTTGGCTCATTAAATAGTTTGGTAACAAAAAATTGAAAATAATTTTTAATTGAAACAGAAACAGAAACATCTCTATACCTAAAAAAAAAGTCATGGATATGTGAAGTACTTTTTGTATACCAATTGTTCACTATTTGGTACTGTCTTCTAATAATTTCTAAGCTCAAATGATATATTAATTTATACAATTATTGTTTAATTTAACCTTAATGTTGGAGAGATCACAACCAAATTAATGCTGCATGTTTTTAAAATCTTCAAACTGTACTACTTGCTTAAATTGTTAAAGCCTATGCGATCTCTATAATTAATAATGATAATTTAAAGAAAAGGGTGAGTGCTTGCTTATTAAAACGAGGCGATTTTAAAATTTTTCGAAAATGATTATATATGTTTCCAAATAAGTATTGACTTTAGAAATACTTCTTTCTCCATTTAATTCGATAATATCTCTTTTATAACACCGATTAATTCTTATTTTATCTATTTATTATTTTAGAGATTATAACTCATAATGTTGATTAAACATTTTTTCACGAACTCTCTTATCAACCATTAAATTTTTTCCTATTTGAATTATTAGCAAATATGTAACAATGATTGTACTTCGATTAGAGATCACTCTATTTTACTTGAGAGTATCTTTACGAACTCTCATCAATTTATTAATCATAGAACATAGCCCTAGCCTTTAATGAGAGAGGTCAGGCTTTCATTGAAGCCACACCTAGAAAGTTTGTGTGCAAGTGTGTGTTTGGAGTGCCTGATTGCCTATTGGAATATTTTTTGCAACGTTTTTTCCACTGAAACGGAAATGCTTTGACAGCGGAGCAGAAACTACAACAAAACTTTTCGCCAACTATTGTTAGAATCGCTCAAAAATTACGCAGCTCTGGCCATGTTCTGGTGCCCGGAAGGGCGCTGGTGGGGCCCAGTTGTTAGCACTGATGGGGCGTGGCAGCCGGGGGCGGGGAAGTAGGGCCAGCAGCAGTTACGTTTGCATTGCGTATTTCCGCTAAATGTCATCGCAACGCAAATGCAAAGTTTTTTGATTAGTTGCCGGGTATACTTGAATGCAACTCTGTGTGTGAGTGTGTGTGTCCAGGTAATCGATATCAAGCCGATTACTGGATGCAAGTTCTATTTGTATTGGCAACGCGTGCGTTGCAAATGTTAAATAGTGCTGGGAGTTGGTGGGGAGGGGGAGAGCAGGAGGGACAGCACACGCAATGGGGCATCTAATTTTCAGCGTGCGCCGCGAACGGAAACAGGAAATGAGAAAATTTTGTAGCAGTGACTGACTGCTGAATGCCAACTAAGGCAAGAACTGCAGCGACTATAAAAAATATAATAACTACAGTAAACACTTGCAATAATGGGTGATAATGGCTGAGGGCCAGATCTGGCTGCATAGAGACTGAGGCTCTTGCAAAAATCTAGCAGGATGTTTAAAAATTATGGACAGCATAAAATATTGAGCCTTACAAAAACAATGTGAGAACTTTCTTTAAATGTCCAACGAATATTTAATAATTTATTCGATAGAAAATCTAGTTAGAAATCTATAAAAACTGAAACTCTAAAGTTTACAAATTGTGGCGTTAAACGAAGTTCTTTAAAGGCATTATCAAGTCTACTGAGATGTATTGATAAATAGATGCTGTTGTAATATTTCTAGTTGGGGTCCAAAATTAGTTTTGTTTGACACGATATCGGCGGAAGAACCGAGATATTTATTTGAAATGTAATTAAAAAGCATGCTGATCTCATCAAGCTAGAGAATTTCACCTATTTTTAGAAATTATTCACCCAACAATCTAGCAGCTTGAGAGAGTCATGGCTTTATCTTAGGAATATGCCCTTTTCACAATTATTTGAGCAGAACCTAAGTTTTTTGATTAATTTACACATTATTTCTTTAAGAAGCATAAAAAGGAGACTATTCTCTAGCAACTTTATGGTTCTCACTATTCTTGGACACACTATTTTCTGCCCTCAAAGGCCCTACTGTACTGCACTGAGCAGTTGAGCTTCGGTTACCTACCTGGCAGTGGTGCAGTCCCTGTAGAGCACATCGAAGTCCTTGCAGGAGAGCAGCTTGCAGCGATTGACGCCCGGCTGAATGGCGCCGAGGCCGCGCAGGATTCGCACCTGCTCCACATTGCACACCAAGGGCACAATATCCAGGCGCTTCAGCTTGGTGTACACGGTATGGAGACCGCCGACCAGGTGCTTGAGGAAGAGCTCGAAGGCCTGTGGCAGGCAGAGCATGGTCTCATTACTGATGATGAAGGCGGCCACTTTCTGGCCCCGGTACTCGACCAGCTTGCACTCGTTGGCGCTGGGATCGGATGTTGAGATGGGCGGCGGCGAATTGTAGGAGCGAGGGGGCACATGGTGATGGGCCGCTGCCATCAGTTCCAGTGGCGAGGCGTGATGCATCATTTGGAGTGAGTTGAGCAGACCCAGCGAGTGTGGGGGCAGGCCGTGTGGCATGCGGGGCGGCAGTCCGGCGGGCAGACCATTCGGTGTGGGCACGCCGCCCACATGTGGGGGCGGACTGAGCTGATGATGTTGCTGCTGTGCCATTTGGGCCATCATCGAGTGGTTGAGCGAAGTCACGGGACTGACGGCGTTCGGATGACGGGTGGGGGAGCTGGCTGGCGAGCAGCTGGACCCGCGACCCGTATGGGAATTCCGGCCATTGGGCCGATCATCGCCAGCGCCCCGGGAGCTGTTGCTGCCGTCACGATTGCTGCCGTTCTGTTGTTGTTGCTGTTGTTGCTGTTGCTGCTGCTGCTGCTGTTGTTGTTGGGCCGCTGCTGCTGCTGCCGCTGCAGCGGCTGCTTGCTGTTGTTGCTGGTGATGCATCAGCATCGCTGTGGTATTCATGTTGTTGTTGTTGTTGTAGCCGTTCGGGCTCCCCAATTCACGTGCAATTTTGTGTTGTTGTTGCTGCTGCTGCTGAATATGTTGATGATGCGGATGAAGAGGACTCCTGCTGTTGTTGTTATTGTTGTTTACTGATGTATTGTTGTTGTTGTTGTTGTTATTATTATTGTTCATCGCCTTCTCATGCAAAGAGTCGACGGCACTGTATTCACTTGTCACCGATTGGCTATCATTGACAGAATCCATGCTTCGTCATTGGTCACACTTTTTCATTTTATTTTTGGCGTTTTTATGCTGCCGATTATTTGTTTGTTGTTGTTGTTTTTTTGCACGCTTCGAATATTTCTTTTATGTTTTTCTTTTTTCTTTTTTTTTGGTTTGAAGTTCACTAAAAAAGAATAAACACACAACCATTAAATACCTAATGAACTTTTAATTCATTTATAATTATTGCTCAAAATTATAATTATGGGTTTTGTGCATTTCAGTGCGAATTGCAAAAGAAGAAAACTCAACAAATAAATGCCTAATGCGATTAATGATGAAACCTAATGAACTCAATAATATCTGAAGATTTCAAAATACACATCCAATATCTGGAAATAGTGTTTTATCTATTAACCTGATTTTATAAGAACGTCTGTGTCGTGTAATGACAAATATGATTATTTTACAACTACGTTTAATTATCATTTGATATATTTTTTTATGAATATAAGACTTATTTTGATTGATTTAATTAATTGATTACGAATTACTAAACATATAATCTACAATTTAACATTTCTCCAAGTGCCAAATCAAGGCAATCTTTATGTTTTAATTTAGTTTCATTTTAGTTTATCAAACTGTCTTCTCTACTGAACGTTTAAACAAATCTAAATGCAGCTGCAATATTTATTTTAAATAAAATTAATTTTTTGATTTAATTCACCTTCTTGAACATAACGACTCTTACAATTATTTTTAAAACTCTTCAGATATTTTACTTTCAAATTTATTTTTAAAAACTTAAATAAGTCTGTTTGATTTGATAGAAAAACGTCAAAAACGGAACCAACTCTCCTAAAAAGTGAACCCTTATTTTAGTTGAAAAATAATTTACCTTCTTTATTAATTGGTTTATTTGAGTAGTCATTAAAATTTCACAAATAGAATTTGTTTATATTTATTGTTTATTTCAATGCAAATTTTTGGAGCCAATTACACTTGCAATTTGAACTCATGTCGAGCCATTTGATGGGCACACAAATCAAAGCGCGGCACACGACACGACAATTGGTAATTGGCAAATGGAAGGAATGCCACCGTTAGACCGGATCGTAATCGTACCGTTCCGACGGCTTGTCACTGAGCTTGTGAGGCTGCGTTTGGCTGACTGGTGTTTGGCCTGCCCCGAAAAGCACACGATTGCGATTGCGACGACGACTGCGAGAAATCAACGAAACGAATTGCATTCGAAAAGGAATCGTCACACACACATACACACACACAAACGCGCGCACTCATACAACTGCGGAATGGATGCTGCAGTGAGCGACTGAGAGAGACGTCTCATACATACATACGTACATATGTATATACAAATATATGAATATATATACATATACGGATGTATACAATTCGAGTGTTATTTTTTTAACCCACCCACACCAATGCACCGTCGGTTTATATACCAACGTCAACGTCAACACACCGACACCGACATCGACGCGAGTCAGAAACGAAATGCGCGCGCAAAAATTTTATTGCATTACCTTCGCTTACGAATGACAAATTCGTAATGAAAGGCGAACCAAATGTGTTTCGTTTCGTTTCTATGGCTGGCTGGCTGGCTGGCCGGCCTGGCGGCGGCGACGACGAACGAGAAACAGCGCAGCGGCTGCCGTCGTCGCAGCAGCAGGCAGCCCCAATTGTAGACGTCTCTGTGTTTATTTGTGTGCGTGTGAGTGCGAGTGCGACTGTGAATGTGTGTGTGTTGTGTGTCTGTGTCTGTATCTGTATCTGCGATTGTGCAAAACCCGAAACGATATGTACGAATGTTTTGTCCGCTTCGAATTGCCAGCACTCACATACACACCAATACACGCACTCAGAAAAGGGGAGTGGTGTACAATTGTGCCTGCGCGTGTGTCTGTGTCTGTGGCTGTGCCTCTGCAACCCCAAAAAACACAGTGACAAACGTAATAAAAGCAAATGAAAATGAAAAAAGAAAAACGACAAACACAAATGAAATGAAACACAGGCGGCAGCAAGCAAGGACGTTCACAAAATACAATGCGCAACGAAATGAATCTAACTGAAACGGAAGAAATGCCACTGCCATGAAGCTCACACATGCACACGCACACACACGCACATACTGAGCTGCGCTCTCACTCACACTCTGCTGTGAGTAGCAGCAGCAGAGGCAGCGGCAGCGCCGTCAGCGTCACCGTCGCAGTAGCAGTTGTCGTCTACAGGCTACAGTTACATTCGTTTTATTTATTTTTTCATTTCGTTTGTTGGCTTGGCTTTTTTTGATTGCGACGATTTCATTTCATTTGTGTTTCAATTTCATTTCGTTTCACTGGCAGCCATTGCGCGCACTCTCTTGCACTCGTTCGCCACTCTAGTGCTCGCTCGCTCACACCAATGGGCTCACACAGCAGGTGGGTTGCAACCAATAAACATGAGTGAGCATCGGCAGGCAGCCGGCGCATTTACATATTTGCATTGTATGAGTGTATACATATAAATGTGTGTGCGTGTGTGTGTGAGTGCTGCCCAGTAGCGCGCGCTCACTCACTCCAATGGCTGACGACTGACTGTGACGCAGACGCTGGCATCGCTTATATAAACAAATGACAATTGTTTTGCATTTCTGCTGCCGCCCGCCCTTCTGCCGTTTTTGTTGTTGGTTCTGGGTTTTTTTTTGTGCTCGTTGTGGCCCAAAGTAAATTAAAATAAATGCAATGCATTTGCAAAAAAAGATGTCGTCGCACTCGGCGCTCTCGTGCTCGACCCGATGCGATGCGATGCGCCTTGCCTCGTCCCCGTCTCCTTCTCGTCCTTGGCCGGCGTTTGCGCAGCTGCCCTGCAACGACAACAACAAATCTCATTTTCTTATTGGAAAAGCATTTTAATTTCAATTAAAAAAGTAAATGACAGACTTTTTTTTTTTGTTTTGTTGTCTCTTCTTTACTTTTGGGCCACAACTAGAAGAGGGCCGTCCTCTACCCCTCCACCTCTTCGGCTTCGAAACTGGCGTCATTAAATTAAACTTTTCAGCGCTAGAGCGAGGCAGCAACTGCTTATGCTGCCATCTCTCGTCTGCCCTTTTTTAATGCCATTTGTGGGTTTGTCAACGGTTTTCCTTTTCGTTTCTCATTCGTTTCAATTTCTCCATTTCGTCTTGCTATGTTCGGGGCATCGTATTTATATTTCCATTTCTTGCAATTTTTTGCGCAACGTTTCGATTCAGAGCAGTGCGACCGATCCATTGTATCGTCTCGCTCGCTCCCCAACTGCTCCGATTGCCCTCTGGCCTGGGGCTGCCGCATACGAGGCAGCCGCCTTGGGGCGTTGATACTTATAAATAACATCCCAAATACTCCTCTGCTTCGTCATTTCGTAGCTGTCGCACCTTTAGCACCTTTCAATATACACATACAAATACACACAAACATATGTATAGTATATGTATACAAATACATATACATATAGCTGTAAATATGTGTGTGTTTGGAAGCAATCCCGACACCCACCCACCACCCTACCACGTGCTCTTAATGCGATGGGTGTGTTCGGCACATTTCTCATTTTCTATTATTTGCCAAAGCGAAAAATTGTGGGGCGCTCGTCGATTCCGACTCTGGCAGTCCCGTTTGCCGTTTGCCGCTTACCGTTCTTTCTGCGTTTCTTTTGCAATTTCATTTTTTCACAACCAATCGGATTTCGTTGCTCGCATTTCCCATTTGTATGAGCGGCGTTGTGTTCGCAAAGAGACACACACACACAGTACATATGTGTGTGTCCGTGTGTGTGTGTGTGTTATATAAAGTATATAAATATATGCAGCATTGCCACTTTCCGATGATTTTGGCATTTCACTTTGGTGCCAGCTCCTGCGAACAAACAACGAATTGTTTCTCCAGAATTAATGAGTTGCGTAAATAGCAGCGACCTCTCAATGCAATTCTCTTCAGTTTTCAGTCCAATGGCAATGACAACTTGAAACGTAATTAATCACAGCTGCTAAATGCAAGGGATAGTATGAATTTCTGAAGAATGCGTTAGCTATTTGTTCAATATAGGAAGCAGGAAATCAGAGCAGACTTATCCTTTAAAATAGACATGTTTAATTATGATCTTTGAGTTTTCAATTGACATAATTCTGAAGGGACTGAGGACTTGTGTTATTTTATAGAACTCTCTCTACAATACCTATTTAATTCAATTCATTTAGGGGACCTTGAACAATATATGCGAACATGATAGCAAAGCTGGTTAAGCCACAAAAAATAGGGCTGGCACTCCAGAATAACTTGGCGGCGTTTGCCATATAATATAGTACTTACATATGATCGACAAATTCGTGAAATTTTACATAAGAAATACAGTGAAAACTCCCTTAATGGACAACTCTTTTATCCGGACACTCTCTTCGGCGGACACTTTTTCTAAACATTCGATCGATGTATCCCCTTAAGCGGTAACTCCCATTGGGCGGACAAAAATTTGACGACCTCGAGTGTCCGGCCAAGAGAGTTTTCACTGTATTGTTAGATAGCCCTGTAAAATAATTATTTAACCGCAATCAAAAAATTTTAAACTAGTTTGGCAAATAAATTTTTAGTAAAAGCAGCTGCCCCTATATTTATATCTTCAAATGCTGCCACAAATCATAATATACATACGTCTGGAATTTGTAGCAAATTTTGAGTTTTTACAGATAACATTAATTCAAAAACATTTATTTTTTATTTTTGCTTTGTTTTTGTGAACTCGACTCTAGCATATTCATTTTTTTTACCTATTCGGGCATGAAATAATGCCACTGTGGGAGTCATAGCGTTATCTTCATAATATAGATTCGCAAATTCCACAATAGTTATTCAATTTAGTAATAAACAAAGTTAATCCAAGCGCGAAAGTGCTCGAGGATAGGCTATTTATATTAAACATATAAAAAAATATATATAAATAAATAAAAAAAAGTACCCATTGTGGTTGGAATTACACAAAATTGAACCATTCGAAGACTTTAGTTATTTTTACCCTGTACCCTAAGGGTAAATAGGGTACATTAGGTTTGTGTATGTAACACGGAGAAGGAAGCATCTCCGACCCCATAAAGTATTTTTATTCTTAATCAGCGAGACTAGATAAATCGATCTAGACATGTCCGCTTGTCCGTCTGCCTTCTGAAACGGCTTTCAATCAAAACAATAACAAAGTTGTCTATGAAACTTGTAAAGGCAACATATTTCAAGGGAAAGGGAATTTAAATTGGAATAAAGTTATAACCAAAACTGTAATCCCTGCCCGCAGCTGCTTCGTCATTTGTTGCTGGTTTGGCTTAACTCTATACTGCGCGCATGCTCACACTCAGAGAGGCATAGGTGCAGAGTATTTCAAAGTCGGCGCAACCAACTTTGTTCTTTTACTTGTTTTTTTTATAAAATTGTCTTCGAAATGCAACTTTTCGTTTTCATTTCATACTAAAAGGAACTGCAGGACACTCTTATGACGTCATTCAAAAGCAACGGAAAATAACGGAACTACACTAAACGCAATAATGAATAGGAGGCGCATTACGCAGGTCAGTTATTTAGCTTTCAAAATTGAATATGAAACTGTTCAATAATAATTCAATAATTCGTCATAATTCCTCAATTTGAAGAACTATCTCATTAAAACCTAACAAAAATGAAATTCAGAGCAAATTTTGTTGAATTTAATTTAATTTAAATTTTAATGTTTTTAATGTTTTTTTTTTAATTAAAAATTGCCAATGGGTGATTAGTTCTAAAATTAATTAGTCTAAGACCAATTAGTAAAATGAATTAGTCGACAAATAAACTCTGAGAAACATAAAAAACCTATTCAAAATGCTTAGCAACAAATATTCAAAGCAATTTATCATATAAATATTTATTGGCATAAATCCAAAAAAAAATTTTGAGTGTCCAAATCCTTCAACTTTAATGTTCTGCTTAAATAAAAAACAACCTCAAAAAGAAGCTCTGCCACATCAGCAGAGACAATCACCAGCGGAACATTTCTGCAACAGCTACTCCACTGTTGAGCAACTGTTACTGCTGCGATTTCAGAGAAGCGAGCTTTCGTCCATGTGACATAATCTAATAAATAAGCAAAGTTCTAAACCGTCGCAAGCAACACAATTCGGACTTCAAATTATTACACAGTTTGTTAGTCAATCCAGTTTCGTATAAGTTTCGGACACTGCTGCTTTAATACCCTTACCGAGAAATGGAAAAGTTTCGCAAACTTAGTTATTCATTTTTAAAATAATTAAATGCATATATTTAAGCGGCATATAATTTGCCAGCAACTCATTTTGCACAAATTAGTGCCATATTTTAACGTACATTCTTTCATATTAAAAAAGAGTGTCCTTTTCAACATTTTCCAAATAATATGATTACTATTTTCAAAACTAACAAGATTATAAAATTGAAATAATCCGCTAAAGACCAACATATTATATGTTTTCAAACAAGCCCAATAAAACCTAACAATATTTTGTAGAAAGCATTGCAATATTTGAATATATGTATAGCTCTTTTAATATATAAAATAAATAATCTTATACTTATTTATTATTTTTAAAAATGCAATATTCCTTCAGACAAAAGCTCATTACTATGCGAGCGTAATAGCCAAGAGCTCCATAACAGTTAGCTACATTCTATACACGCACTATTCTTTTCTGCTGATATGGCAGCTCTTGCGGTGGCAGTTTTGGTATTTTGCCCACACCTGGCCACCCCCTTCACAGATGTTGTTGTTTATGATTGACTTGCTGACTTGTTAACTTTGGCAATAAAGTGTGATAAATGGCTGAGGAAATCGACGACTCCGACTTCTATAGGGAGAACTTCAGCGCGGACTCCGATTGGGAGGTGTTCAATGCGCAATTGGCAGAAATACTGCAAAAGTGGGACGTGAGTAAATGACAATTTTCCAAACCGAAACAATTAAAACTCTGGTGAGTTTTTAGGTTCAGAATGCCGATTGGGGACGGGAGCTGAGGCCAGAGGAGCTGTTCTCCTGCAAATGGCAGGTGGAGTCTGAAACGCTGAACCTGCTACGCAACAACATTGCCGTGGAATACTACGAGGCGAAGGTGTCGGCGTCAGAAGTTGCTTCGCCAGAGCACGAGGAGGGCAGCAACGTCTGCCTTCAGCGCACGAGTTGCCATCACGATTTGATGAGCAGCGTCAACAGCTTCGGGCCGCCAATTAGCAGCTCCAACGAGCTGCACATGCTGGCTCGCATTTACGGACTGCGTCGCTTCATTGTCCTGCATCCAGTCAATAGCCAGTTTTTGAAGTCAACTTCCGAGTTCAATTTCTTTTTGAGCGCTGCCGCTGTTTCATCTGCCGAGGTGGGCAGTGTGGTGCCGATTTTTGTGCAAATCTACGATCCCAAGTGGAATTTCTATACCGGCTTGGCTTTTGCGCCAGCGCTGCGCACAAACTTTCGGCTGATTGGTCTGGACCAGCCGCAGAAGGAGTGCCTCTATCTGATGCGGCAGCTGGCCATGTTCAAGGAGAAGGTGCCCGCCTCCTACACCCAACCGGCGATGGTGTCTGTCCGCATGACCTACGCCTTGGACACGATGCGCATTCGCATGCCCATGAATGTGCCCTTCGACCATGGACTCAACTCGGAGGACATTGTGGTCTCCGGTGAGGTGGCTCCGCTAGAGACAATGCACTTTCACGCTCTGCCGCATGGATACACGCCCGAGAGCCGCACTGAGATCTATTTGGTGTACACATGGCCAGAGCTGACGGAGCATGTGGCCTTCGACAGCGAGCAGAGCTCGGATTTTGTGCCCTCCAAGGCGCCCCTGGGCCAGATATATCTGTCGGTGGAGGCATCGTCGTATCTCTCCTGCTGCCTGCAGGACTATCAGCAGGCTGGGCGAGTGACTCGCACCCTCGAATCGTATGTGGGCCGCAATTTCTCTGGCATTAGCAGTGGCGCCGAGGCAGCCAATCCTCTCGACCAGCTCACAGAGCACAAGTTGAAGACACGCCGGGGCCAGTACGAGCTGCCCTCTCGGGCCGGGCAGAGTAAACGCCTGCCTGGACCCATGACTGAGAACGAGTTGAATGAGCTGCTGACTTATCTGTTCCCGGACATGCATCCGGAGACGGCTCTATTTCCATATGCTAAGGAGAGCTTCAGGGATAAGGTGTGCAGCTCTTTCTTGCATAATTAGGACGGGTTTTTAACCAGTTTTCAACTTCTTTGCAGTTCGATCCGATGCGCATTAAGAGCGCGGTGCCCGATTCTTTGGTCTGTCGCTTAAGCTGCTTGCTGGCCACATGCCATGCCCATCTTGGCGGCTTCGAGGGCATGGCTCAGCTGTGGGCGGCCTTCACCCGTCAGCTACGCATGCTTTGGGACAACTCGCTATCGGTGCCGGGGTGAGTTAAAGACTTTTCCCAATATATTGAGCAATTGTTGTTCGATTAATTCTCATAAACGACTCTAAGCTGGCCCAGATGAGATTTGTTAATGCTCCTCTGGACTCTGATAGTGATGAGTTCTTCTCTTGACATTGATTTTTAAGCGTATCTTAGATATAATTTTGCCTTATCTTGCTTTTATTTTAGAGCCCAAAGGTACTATATACTGAGATTCTTAGATTGTAATGCAGTTTGTGGTCTGTAGTCTATTTTCCAAAGCATTTTTGTTTTGATAAGAGTTTCTCGTGAAGGCTAGACATAGAATTAATTAGTTAAAGCTATGATTGTGCTTTTCAAGGCGTTCTAGTAAGCTCCCCTTTCTTTCAGAACAAGTATTTTCAATAGAGAAACTCGTTTGCGTGCCTGAAATTTGCCTACAACGGCGTGTATCTATTAGAGGTGAAAGCACAATAGATGCAAATAATTGAAAAACAAAAAAATAATGGCTTCTAGGTCTGATCTCTCCACAAAATATAGTTCGGCTTTAAAAGGCAGTATGGATCCGCAGCCGCCGCTTTGTAACCAACTTTAAAATGCACAGACCTTGATCTACTCTTTGTTATAGATGATATTTAAACTAATTGTCTGTTAAGGCAAATATATACTGGGTCATACATTGATTAGATAATACCTCGCATATGCGTTAGACGTCTGTAGAAATCTCATATTTGAAATCTTCCACACAAATTTGAACAATCGGTATTAAACCCAACTGCTAGCCAATAATATATTTGCTTAATGGTTGGACTTGCTGAAGCACAATTAATCCTGCCGCGATTTTTGAATTTCTAATATTTGCAAATTCCAATATATAATAATAACAAAATCGTTATTATTCCATAGTTTCAGTTTCGGTTTCTTCCATTTCTTTCTCCGAAAGAAAAAGGAGAAGCACTGGCTAGGAAGAGTTTCAGCGCAGGAAACTTTCCTAAGAGGGAAGCTGATAGATATCAGAAGAGGAAACGCACCACGATACCCTAAAAGATAGATCATACTACCAGATTAAAGATCCATTCTATTTAGTTTCTTTCACCCTCAAATGCTATTCAGATACCAAGCATACCCTTAAAGGTAAATCATACCCCATACTAGCAGATCGAAGATCGATTCTATTTAGTTTCCGATGATCTACATTTTCGTAGAGAGGAAGAGAGACGAGTTTAACAAAAATATGCTTTATTCGGAACTCAATGCAATGCACAATTAAACACAAAACTTTCAACTTCCAATACAATGAAATTGCAAATTCGCTAATTATGTAAAATTTGGTTTCGCTAAATGTTTTGTTTCTTTTTCTTTTCATTTTCTTTTTTGTTTTGTTTTGTTGAAGCCGCAAAGTTAACATGTATAGTTATCGGGTTTTCTTTCTTATTTTTGTTTTGTTTTTTTCTTTATACATCAACAATTGAACGCACATACGAGTACTTATGTACTTGTGTATGTATGTTGTGTGGAATTCAAGTAACTTGCTCCGTTCTATTCATAAAACCAGGGCTCTATCTTCTCTATATATATATGTATTTGAGTCTTCTCTGGTTGTTTGTGTGTGTGTGTGTGAGAAACTAAACTAAAACTAAGCACGTGCCATCATCTCCATCTGGTTGGGTTTCTTCTCGACCTGTCTTTGCTGTCTTTCCACTGCTTAGACAATCTTTATACATAAGTAGTTTGGTTTTTCTTCTCATCTCTTCATTGGTGCTAAGGCAGTTTATTTTGTTTATTACATTGCAATTGTAATTAGCGCTAGTTTTGATTTCGATGCGAACTAATTATACACTAAGATTACATAACACCTTGTAAGTTAGCTACTGAAACATTTTATATACCTTCTTTTGTTATTTGTTTTTGTTTGTTTTGGTTAATCCTAGAATTGAGTGTGTGTTTTGTTGTTCTTGTTTGCATCCATCTATACACACATATATATAGGTATATATTAGTTGCTTGATTTGTTTACAATCTTAGCTGTTCTTTTTGTTGTTGTTTCTAAATAATTGCTCCCGTTGTCCATCTAAATTGGGTTTCTCTAAAACTAATGCTCAAAGCGTTGCTTAAAATTGCCTTAAATAACTAAGTGCCTAATTATCAGATATATATATATATATACCTCCTATGGTATGTATTTATACTATATATATTTATATATCTATATTGTTTGTCTTACTTGGCTAAGTATTTAGTGCCAGGCATGCGCGTTGCGTTTCTGCACCCGTGGGTTCCGATCCTGCGCATGGGCACTAAATATTGTTAACTGTCAACTGTGTTCGCAAGGACTCGCAGGCTGCGACATCCTCTGTAGAATGCTAAAACTGAAAAGAGCTTAGGCCTAGGCAAGTGGTTTATTTACAAAGATTTACAGTTCATAGTCAATAGAAATAATAATAAAAATGATGATAAGGAAATTAGAATTCTCACACAATTTTATTTCATTAAATTGTCGCTATAAAAAATTACATAAGAATTAATCAAATAATTAAATCAATACTTGTAAACTTAAGGGTAGCACACAAACGTTTCAATTGAAGCCTTTGTACAAAAAGTTAAAAATCTCATTGTGGATGAAAAAATGCAGCAACTGAAGAAAAGGAAAACAAAAGCAGCGCTTAGGACAAACGATTGATAATTAAATAAAGTCGAACTCAATTGAATTGAACATTAAATCGAAATTGCCTCACAATTCGAAGCGAAATTCAATTTGCAGAAGCATTTAAAGGCAGTAAAGCATTCGGTCATCCATTTTTACGGCTAGTATTTGCTTTCTCCTCCATGGTGTTGGGGTTGACAAGCATGGTCAGCAGAGGGGGAGGGCGAAGCACCTAGAGCGGGTCTAGTGAGAAGGTTTTAAAGTCCTTCAGGAGAAGAAATGATGCAAACAATTGTTGATGGTTATTTGTAAGAAACGTTGCCTAAATCTAAAATCTTTTTCATTCGAATTTTAGCAGTGGCTTTAACTAAATGGTCTGCAAGGAAACTGGTTGGTAAATTAATTAAATGAACATAAAAGGACAATAATTAATGGAGAAATTAAAGTAGTGTAGGAATCAATGTATAATATTAGACGAAACTTTTAAATGATTTTTGTTTATGTCTTAGACTACAATTTAAAGCTTTTGAATGTGGAAAAGGTGACAAATTCATAATGAATTTGCACACGAAAATGAAAACATGGTTAAATATTTTTTTCCAAAAAAGTTTGAAATTGTGAAATATTCTGTTCTTCATTTCCCAGTTCCTCTAAAGAATTAATTTCGGCTTCGGGAAATTCAATTAAAATTGGGAATGAAAGCAGTGCCGAATATATAATTAATTATATTTGTTTGCTTGAAAATCTGTAGCAAGATACTTGTAACTTAGAAGCTTTAAAAGTAAATGTCAATTCGGCGATATGGCAACCACTTCTGGATACGATTTTGGATCTAGAATGCGTTAAATTGGATCTTCTGTCAAACCATCAGTTTCCTTAAGAAAATTGATAAGAATTGGCTGCCCTGAGAATTTGGAACAGGTCTGCCTAAACTTGATGACATATTCTACATAGATTTCACAGAAATTACAGAATTAATAAATAATTTCGTGAGTTTCTCTTTGAATGTGTTCAGAAGGTGCTTTAAGATTTCTGGATTTAATTGAAATTACAGTTCGAAAACGTAAGCTTTAAGGAGTTTAGAATCGGAATTAAATGTTCTTAAGCCGCGTTAATTTAGTAATTTAGTTATTTTCACAAATCTCAGATTCCTATTCATGGGGGAGTACAAGTAAATATTTGGTGTCCTTTAAAATGTCTTCCAACCAATTGCTTGCATCATCTTTAAAAACGGGCTCATTGAATTCTTAGAAAATAAAAGTATGCCTCACAGACTCGGGCATATCCATGCTTATCCAGCACACCATAGAGCATATTAGTTATAATCTAATGCTATTTAGTTGGAGATAGTTGTATAGACTACACGTACTATATAGATAAGTTTCCTTCTCGTATGTATATTAGTACCGTTAATTATATGTATATATCTGTGTATGTATATTGACTTATGTTTTAGTTCTTTGATTGCTTAACATGTTTGCTGTTGTTGCTGCCGCTAATGCTGTTGTTGTTGTAAAATATGCTTGTGTGTGTAAGAACAACAACAACAACAACAACAACAATGCACATTGTTGTATATTGTTCATCGTTTGCCGAGTTCTTACTTTCGTTTCGTTTCGTTTTAAACAGCTTACAAAAATATGTTCTGCATTCATTAAATTGTATGCAAATGTTAGGCCACTAGAACAACAACAACAACAACAATCACACGAGCAGCGGCGGCTACAACGACAGCAACAAAAACAACAACAACAACAGCAAGTGTTGCCAACACACTCACAGGGCCAAGTTGCTGTCAACACTGTCAGCCCTATCAGCCAAAGTCAAGTTCAACACCAGGGCCGACGCCGAGGTCGTCCTCATGTCCGTCTCTCTCTCCGTCTCCTGAAAGTCCTTCTTGAGCTCAGGCTGAGGCTGTGGCTGTGGCTGAGGCTGTTGTTGAGGCTGAGACTCAGTCTCGTTCTCATTATGCGGCTGCACTTGCTCGATGCTTGACACGGCGGTGCTGGCCAAGGAGCCGGCTGTTTGAGTGCTGCCAGAGCTGTCGCGACTGCTGTCAGATGTTGTTGTTGTTGTTGCTGCTTCTTCTCCTATTGTTGTTGTTGTTGTTTGTTTGGTTGGTGGATTGCACATGTTGGTTATGTTGTTGTTGGCTGACTCGTGGACGGGCAATCTTGTTGTTGACTGCCGCCCGTACTCATCGCTGCTTATTCTACAATTACAATTACAGCTACAGTTATCACTAAATGTATGCGCATTAGTTAGAGTGCCTAAATAATTGTTTCGTCTATATAAAATATTGTTAGTCGTTGCATTTGTTGTCAGCATGGGTAACTGTAAACGGAAGGCATGGCCACGCATGCCGCTGCGTGTTGTT